GCGAAGCGAAGCCTTGACTTGTATTCTCACAGACATAGTCTCGCGAGTTTTGGGTGCGGTGACACAGTGCTCTCACGAGACTTTAGGCTCAGTAGTTAATGTCGGTGCGCAGAAAACATGGATGGAAAACTAGCGAACAAGCAAACGAAAACTTATTATTTTCACACAGAGTGGGAGGAGGAGTATTTTTTTGTTTATTCTAATTCGAAGTCTATTTGCCTCATCTGTAATTCGAGCGTTGCCTTACCCAAAAAGTGTAACTTGGAGCGGCATTTCAAGACGATGCACAAACGGTTTGAGACAGATTTCCCTCTTAAAAGTTCTTTACGGACTCAGAAAGTGCTGGAGCTAAAAAACAAGCTTGCAGCCCAGCAGTCAGTCTTCACTCGCCCCAGCACAAAAGGTAAAGCTGCTACGATAGCTTCCTACCGTGTTAGCCGCATCCTGGCTCAACATAAGAAGTCTTTCAGCGATGGACAAGTTATGAAAGAAGCGTTTATTGAGGCTGCAGATGCGCTTTTTCATGATTTTAAAAATAAAAGTGAGATCGTAGCTGCTATTAAAGACGTGCAGTTGTCCAGACAAACAGTGACACGGCGATGTGAGGGAATGGCTGTGGATGTGGAGGAGCAGCTAAAAAAGGACGTGGAAGAATGCGAGTGTTTCTCTCTTCAGTTTGATGAGTCGACAGACATGGTGGATGTAGCCCAGCTGTGTGTTTTTATCAGAATGGCCTTTGCAGACATGAGTGCAAAAGAGGAGCTGCTCACCATCTTGCCTTTGAAGGGACACACAAGAGGAGAAGATATTTTTAATGCGTTTATGGAGTTTGTTATTAAAAGCAACTTGCCCCTCTTTAAACTAATTTCTATAACAACTGATGGCGCTCCAGCAATGACTGGTCACACCAGTGGATTTGTTGCACTCTGCAAGCAGAATGATGCTTTCCCAGACATTTTGCACTATCACTGCATCATCCACCAACAGACCCTGTGTGGGAAGATTTTAAACATGAAGGACTGCAAATACTGGTCTGTGTGGGTGGGTTTGCGGTACACCTCAGTTTGCAAATGTCCTCTATCAGAGACTGAGACCTCACAGTCCAAGAAAGCCAACTTGCCATTTTTTTCATCTTCTCGTGTGAATTTGATGTATTTATCCACAGAGTTGATGTGGTCAGTAAAATGCTGGACTTCCTGAGATTTAATTTTAGCCCAGGTGTCGTCAACATACCTGAACCAATGACTTGGTGGTGTCCCTGAAAAGGACGTCAAGGCTCTCTTTTCTACCTCCTCCATGTACAGGTTGGCAACAATAGGAGAAACTGGAGACCCCATAGCACACCCATGTTTCTGCCTATAATATTGCTCCCCATATGTGAAGTAGGTTGACTGCAGGCACAGTTTCAAGAGTTGACACAGTTGTTCTGTGGAAAGCGTGGTCCTGCTGCTCAGAGTGGTGTCTGATTTTAATTTTAAACTGACCACCTCTACTGCATCATCAACAGGAATGCACGTAAAGAGTGATGTGACATCAAAAGAGACCATTGTTTCATCATTCTCCATGATGACATCCCTCACCTTATCCACAAAGTCCATGGTGTTCTGTATGTGGTGTTCTGAGCTGCCAACTAAAGGGATGAGTACAGACGCCAGATATTTAGAAACATTGTAAGTGACAGAGTTAATTATGCTAACAATAGGTCTTAAAGGTACACCTTGTTTGTAGGTAAACCATACAGACTAGGTGTGGCCTCCCCTGGGTACAGTCTGTGGTACAGAAAACGGTCAATGGCCTTGTCCTGCTTCAAAATTTTCAGGCAATCTATCAATTTCTTCTTGTAACCACTTCCTGGATCTCTTTTCAGAGGTTCATAAGTGTTTAAGTCACTAAGGAGTGTCATAACTTTCTCATGATAGTCTTTCTGGTTCAAAATCACTGTGCACCTTCCTTTGTCTGCTGGGAGAATGATGATGTTTTTGTCCTTGCTAAGAGTGGTGAGTGCACCCCTCTCCTCTCTACTGATGTTGGAAGGTGGTGGTTTGGCATTGCTGAGGCAGGATGAAACTTTGATTCTGAGCTGTTCTGCTTCAGCCTCTTTAATTTTGTTGTTGCGGATGGCTGACTCAGTGGCTGTGATCATCTCCACCAAAGGAATTCTACTTGGTGCAACCGCAAAGTTCAGTCCCCTGGCAAGAATCTCTGTCTCCGGCTGGGTGAGCTGTCTGTCAGATAAATTTTTCACCCACTTTTCTGTCTCCCTGGCATGTAATTGACTACTGGAGTGTTGTCCTACACTGAATGTGTTATTAGAATAGTGATGGTGTTGATGAGTTATTAGTAAGTTAAACTTGTTTTGTTGTCGAGTCTTGGACTTGACATGCTGTGCTAAGCATGCCTGATCTGTACAGTCCAACACTTGCTGAAGTGTGGTCTGATCTAGACACATAGTTAGTTTCTGTTTAATGTGCTCTTCTTTGGCCTTCAAGGCCTCAATAGTAAAATTGGTCTGTCTCACCCGTTCATTCAGCAGCTGGGTCTGTGCCTTCTGAAGGATCTTGCTTGCCCGGTGCCCGCTGACCGATGATTTTAGTTCCAGGCTCTTGGGAATGATGCCATTTTGTCGACATCTGAGGTTGAATCGCAAGTGGTTCCTGTAGTCTGCCCTCTTCCTTGCTGTTTTCTCAAACTCTCTTACTAGTTTGAGGCCAGAGGACCAGATTGAACTTTTTTGGATTTTTCTACCTGGATTATTGAGCATGCATCAGGGTAAACCTGACTTGTTTTCATGACCCATTTTTTCATAATAAATACAGACTCAACCAGCAAAACGACAGAGTTCACTCTGACCTAGAGTGACTCACTTTGCAAAGGTATTGAGCGCTAAAAACCCACCTCGCCGTGTTGTGTGAAATTATTATCTTTAAAGGTTAAACAAAAAATACCTATTATAAACCATCTTCAGACAGAGGAGGAGGTCTCAGATTTCAACTTTCAAAAACTTATAATGCAGCTTTAGGACTGATACCCAGCCAGTTTCATACCTATCAGGAATGTCATCCACGTGACCAGAGTGGTCCATCTGTGAATTAGATTAACAAAGACCTTAACGAACCCCTACTGTGAGGTGTGATAGGTCAATCTGCGTATGTATGTATATATGTATCATACCTCAGCATTATAACTTGAACCCCACCCTCCCTGTTCTTTGAATTGCGAAAGCTCCTCGGATGAGAAGCGAAACGTCTTTTGTTACAAATAAAATCCAGTTGTTTTTGTCTTGAATTTTTTTTAATTTACCATGTCCTGGATGACTGATGATCTTCACCAACGTATAATTAACTCTAATCATAACACTGCTTTTATATTTACCAATGTTATAAACAATGACAGTTTCTTTGGACTATAAGGATTTTCTCCACTGCTTCTGACTGATGTGGTGAAAATTCCTCATTTTGTGTTCTCATTAAGAATAGTCACTTGATTTGACAACACAAAACATCCCACCTTTCACTGAGCTCACTAATCAAATCCATTTTCTTTAGTACCAGCTGCAGGGGCAGCAGCTCCTCATCTCTGAAGGTTTTCTGGAAAAACAGAACAGATTAAAGAGGAACGGCAGAGTGTGTGTCATGTGTAGCGTTGATCACTGACTTCTCCCAACATACCAGCTGAGTGCCGACGCACAGAGCCAGAGACACCACCAGGCGGCGCTCTTTTGTGCTTGGTCCACTCAGAGCATTTTCTGCAAGCACTAAAGAAGACAGCACATCCAGCCGCTGCTCACTATACTTCTTGTCAGAGATCACTCTTTTCTTTAAAGACAGAAATGAACAGAAATATACTGTAAAACAAGCAGTATATCACCACCACCTTAACATAAAGTGTCAGAGAATCTTTGGTCGAAGGTTATGGATGTTTTTGTTTCTATAGCTGAGAGCAAGAAGCCCAAGATATAATCAAAACCATCTCCCAAGACACCATCTTAATGGTTCTGAGTTTTCTTGGGAGGTTTTTAAAGGATACTTAGCTGTGAGTTTTGTTAAAACAACACCCTGGTGGTTTTCCTTTCTTAGACACCAAAAAAATTACCAGACGTTGTACCAACAACGCATGCAAACATCATTAGAGGAAGAGCAACCGTGAATGTAGGGTTCCTCATGGTACATTTGGGGTCACAGCTACTTGATTCCAGGAGGGGCAAGATGAGATATGAGTGTCCTGCAAATGAAGGTCGTTAAGTGTCCTCAAGGGACAAGGACCTCAACACTTTTAATCAGCTAACTCGACAATCTACCCTTGAACCATATGTTTTGGTTAACTGAGAGTGCTGGGTGATAAGTTGAGAAGGCTGACTCCAAGGACACTTCCTGAGCTTTGTGAACTCAGCTGAACTGATAAGGGTATGAAAGCAAGTGGATAAGGAAGCTCGATGCAGATTCTTGTGTTTTATCCATATTTATGTAACCTGTCCTGAAAATCTGACCTAGCCAGTAAAATTCCGGTTAAAAATCTACTCCTGCCGTCGAGCGTTTTTCTTTTTGGTAAACAAATGCTAAGAGAGATTTTGTCCTCCAACACAAAGCAACATTTGGACTTGTGTGTTTAGAGTTTACCTTGGCAGTACTGATAGAGTTGAGGGCCTGAGACTGAAGCTGCAGAGTGATGTGAGAAACTGAGTCGGCTACAACCATCGACCGTCGGTGAAAGGTGTGCTCCACAGCCTGAGGGAAGCATCATGAGGCATAACCTGACCGTATTAGTGTCATTCCAGCAACCAGTAAATGGAAAAATTAAGAGGGTGGACATGTTCAGAAGTTGACACACACCTTGAGCAACTCAATTAGACGACAAAGTGCTTTAACAGAGGTCTTGGTCATGGGCCGCTGCATTGACATGTACATGTTCATGGTGGTCTTGATGATGGTGCTGATGCTATAAGCGTACAGGATGCCCTGTGAACAAAAGATAGGAGCACAGAAAAATGTTAAAGGCATAGCAGTTCTAGCATATCCCCTGCTACCTTCCATCCCAGAGCTTTAAACTAAGATCATCTTATGATGAGAAATGACAAAGTTATAGCTCCTTTGGTCAAACCTGGTAAGTGATGTTCTGCACAACCTCATGTAATAGTGCGAGATATTCACAAGTATGTTTAGAGCTCAGCGTATGTTTGTATGACTTATGTATGACTTCAGTCTACTACCGTGCCAAGATTTATCTCAATATACCGTATTTTCCGCCGTAAACATCGCACCGCCGTAAAAGTCACATCAGTTCAATTATGTCCAATAAAGTGGAAAAATACATAAAAATGTCGCTTCGCCGTATAAGTCAAATCTATAATGCGTCACTGCTGACAAGTCGGTGCCCCTAGTGGCCGAAAATGGTACTGCTCTTTTCTTTTCTTTTTTTCCCCAGTCAGAATGAATGGAAACGGTCATATCCCAGTCAAAAATTGGTCTAAAAATATGGGAAAAAATCCATATATACGTTGCTTCACCGTATAAGTCGCAGGGCATGCAAATTAGGCAAAAAAAATGCTACTTATAGGCCGGAAAATACAGTATGTAAAATTGGCTTTTGGTTAAATTTGATATTCTAGTGTAATATCAAGGCAGCACGGTGGCGCAACTGGTAGAGCTGCTGCCTCTCAGCGAGCAGGTCCCTGGTTCAAACCCCGGTCCAGGGGCCTTTCTGGGTGGAGTTTGCATGTTCTCTCCGTGCATGCGTGGGTTTTCTCCGGGTACTCCGGTTTCCTCCCACAGTCCAAAAACATGCATGTTAGGCTGATTGGTAACTCTAAATTGTCCCTAGGTGTGAGTGAGAGAGTGAATGGTTGTTTGTCTCGTTTGTCTCTATGTGGCCCTGTGATGGACTTGCGACCCGTCCAGGGTGTACCCCGCCCCTCGCACAGTGATTGCTGGACATGGGCACCAGCGACCCCCGTGACCCAAAATGGAATAAGCGGGCAAAGAAAATGGATGGATGGATGGATGGTGTAATATCAAATCATGGTATGGACCCTTAAGGTGGTGTTGAAAACATTTACTGTTTGTGTGTATGACATTTACCCCAGCAACAAGAGTGTACTTGTTTATGCAGTAAAGTCACATCTGGTGCGAGAGACTACAAGAAGTTGACCGTTGCTGACCGGAGTGGAAAGCAGAATCAGGTAGAAACTTACTAGAGCTGAGCCTGTCTGATCGCTAAAACATAATTGAAACTGTAGGATTTAAAAGTTCTATTAAATGAGTAGGGCAATCATTTGTATAACAAGGCTCTTTGAGAAATGCTGCATTTGTTCTGGGTCAACTTGATCTGTTCTTTCTGGAAAGAATGTGTTTATCTTACAGGAAGTCAACGTACATCAAAAAGCCTGTGAGTATGACCAGAGAACAACTTTTGGCGTAAACAGCTAAATGTGTGTGCTCTTGTACAATGATCTTTACGTAAGCAGGAGAGTATAAAAAGGTCTGATAATGTCCCATCAGGGGGATTCTTTATTTTGGTCTTTTTGTGCTATTCAGTGTCCAACAGTGTTTGTACAATAAACCCCTGACTTTGCTGTCAATACAGAAATCAAAGTGTCAAACTGCTTTATTTAATGATTCCAGTATCCATGTAGTAATAGAGTCTACAAAACCATCTCCCAAGACACCATCTTATCTCTGCCCATGAACCATATGTTTGGGCAAACGGAGAGTGCTGTATAAGGAGGCTACAGCTGGCTATGAGGACACCTCCTGAACTATGTAAACTCGGCTGAGCTGAGAGGAGTGTCAGGGGAATTAACAGATGATTGTATTAAACTTCCATGTTTGTCCCTGCAGCCTGTCAGGACTGTGAACGTTAACTCTAGGGGCTTTATTTTATTCTGTTATTTGTCTTATTAATAAAGTTGGCTGTGTGTGTCTTCATGCAAGGGTGAAAGGAAGAGAGTTACTTTTACTGATTGTTTGCTTTTCCTAACCTGACGTTGTGTAACTACACGCAGAGCAGAGTGAGCCATTAGTGAGTAAAACCACACTTGTTGTCAAATTTAACAGGTCCCCCGGCCTTCCTCCCCTAGTTGACTTGGGTCACCAGACATTTAAGCTTACTTAATGGGAGCTATACATCTTTTTTGAGAGCTCTATCCTCATTAATCATGCAGGGGAGTTCCTACTCGGTAATCTGAGAAACGTATGTGTTGCCACTTCTCATCAAATTTGACCGGTACCACACACCACCTTCTTCTTAAAGACTTCTTAGTAGAATGCCATTCTTGTAACATGTTTAATGTCAGTCAGTCAGTCAGAGTCAGAGTTTCTTTATTGTCATTCGCACCTCATGTGGTACATGTGGTGGAGCGAAATTATGTACACAGGGTCCCAGTTACATCCAACAATAAAATGTCTAAGAAAAACAGTAATAACTTCTAAGATATGAACTAAGAAAAACATCAACTAAATATACACTAAGCACTCATAACATAAAAACATTGAACATCAGCACAAACATGAACATGAGTCTGTGAGCAGATGTGCACGCATGAACACATCAACATTGAAACAGATCAGCAGCAACATGAAACAGATCAGCAGCAACATGATATGGTTTTTCACAGTGATTATTCTAGTTAGAGATTCATGAGTCTAACAGCCTCAGGGTAGAAGCTGTTCCTCAGTCCAGTGGTTCCACACCCAATGCTCCTCAACCTCCTGCATGAGGGGAGCGGGGCAAAAAGTGCGTGCGCTGGGTGGGTGGGGTCCCCCCACCCACCCAGCAGGTGTGGGTTAATGTGTGGGTTAAATTACATATTCTGATCCAAAATAACACCAAGTTTCTTTATATTAGAACTGCAGGTCAAATTAATGCCATCCAGAAGAAGTGAGGCTGCAGAGTTCGTTCCTAAAACGCTCAGAGCCGAAAACCACAACCTTTGTCAGTCTGTGTTTAAAAGCAGCACATTTAAGTCATTGCACTTTTTGTGTCTCTAAGACAAACTTCAAAGTAACTGACTGGATTCAGGTTTCATAAATAAATATAATGGGAGCATCATAACCACAACACTGAAAATGTACCCTGTGCTGTCTCTAGAATAGCAAGTGGAAGCACTGAAGATTCTCAAGTCATCCAGGCCATGGTCAATCCAAAAATAAATAATTAAAAACTAAACAAGTGGTCTTCTATTCTGAAGCTGAAGCTATTTTGCTTCCCATCCAGGAGCATTTGGCCTGATTACCAGCCAGTTACAATGTAATTCACACCTTCATACCTCTTACCGAATTTATGCATTTATTTTGACAATTTAGGGCTCAACAGGAATGAAACAGTTCAAACACAAACCAGGTTCTAGTGACACTGAAGCTGATGGATGGACAAATGGTTCTTTTTTGTTTTTTAACAGAACCTTTTTTCTGTCAATACGTATTATAATTTGCTCTTTTCTTTGCCTGTAACAGACCTCTGCCTTGAGAGACCCTGTCTCCATCAGCATAGCTCTGAGGCCTCCTTTAGATGTACACAGGCAGGGGAAACGCAGTTTTTCGGATGTTGATTCCAGGAATAAATCCTCATTTACACAATCACATTCAGTGTTTATGTGCAAATAGAGAAAAATCCCCACACACCCAAGTCCGCTGTAGTTGCCAGGCCAGGTCATTAGTTGGTGCTGTGAATTTTGTACATTCACCTAATGCGATACCAATATCGTTATCGGTCCCTATATTGAAAAACTTCTGGAGCGGGTATCGTGACAATGTGACCGATCCATGACTGGGCAGATCTATTCACTCTAATTCTGTGCTTTGTGCTCTGATTGCTGTTTATTTTAAATATTTGCCAACCAAGCTAGTGAAGAGTTTGTTTTTTCCTCTTATTTCAGCTCTTTTATTATTTATTTTACATTATATTTAAAATTCCTGAACCATTTAAAAGGTTTGTTGAAGTTTATTTTTTCATGTTTGACCAAAGTAGTCAACCTTTGTTTTTGTCAGTTTCAGTATCTTTATTATTTATTTTACATTGGATGTTATAATTGTACTGACTGAACAAATTAAAGTTGTGTTGTCTTTACATGTTTGACCAAGCTTCTGAAGCTCTTGGTGCTGTTCTGGTGCAGAGTTTTCAATAAATTTGTAATTCAGCACAATCATGTCTGCAGTTAAAAAAACAAATGTTTTAAGTTAATTCAGTACTGGGTTTGTAAGCTCATTCATCCAGGGAGACAACAAAAATGGCTCAATCATGTCATCTGGACCACATGATTGAGCCATTTTTTGTTAATTCAGCACTGTTTTTCTGTATCAGATCGGTATTGGATCGATATAGTACAATACTAAAGCTCAGGCATCGACATCGATATCGGGAGAGAAAAAAGTGGATCGGAGCATCCTACCTGGGACTGCTGTCGGTAAGGACTTTCCTCTGGGCTGAAAGCTCAGGTAATAACAAAACTCAAAGCCGGATTTTGGATACGAGTCATCTGATTTGACTGACGAAGTCCTCTGGATGGGCGATAAAATGTTTCTCACTTAAAGAAACTGGTCCAGATGACATGATTTAACCATTTTTGTTGTTCTCTACCTGGATGATTGAGCTTATAAACCTTTTTTTTAACAAGACAGGATATTAATACTGGATTGCATCCAAGGGTGGAAATGAAGAACATGGAGGGAATATGTACCAGGTATATATGCACGCATCATGCTCATTATTTTACTGCATCACCACATTTATAATCTCATTACTTTAGGGTCATTGTGAATTATATTATAATGCTTTGGTATCACTGTTTGTGGAATGATGGTGCCATCTGGCTAGACGCTCTTATCACCCCATGTAAGAATCCTTGAGAAATGTTTTCCTTTTTCTCCCTAAACAGAAGGTTTGGCTGGTTCCAATAACACGAAGGGGATGAGCAGGCCCCTGATAAGTTTCTACACAACAAACTTTCATTCCAGGAAGTGTGGAATACATCAAATCCGAGGTGGAGCAAGCATTGGGAGTTTCTGTAACTGACTGTTCTCTGCAAAACATTGCGTTATTAAATTTGATGAAGTCTACACCTGTTTGTGAATATGTTTTTTTTTTCCTACGACACCCACATGTCTATTTTCTTTTTTTTTACTTTTATGACTTCCTCTTAAAAAAAAGTCTGTGATCCGTCAATTGGCTTAAGTTATTTTTATAATTTTAAAACAAGACTTTTGTATTTTAGCAAGCTAAAAGGTCTGACTTTCTAAACATATAAGCATTTCATCTTTAGACAAACTTTTCACCTCGTTACTCATGAACAGGTGCATGTATAAAAAAATTAGAATATCGCAAAAAAGTTCTAACTTTATTGTCAATCATTTCAGAAAGTGTAACTTGTATATTAAATATTTATTACACATAGTGAAATATTTCAAGCCTTTATTTCTTGTAATTTTGATGATTATGGCTTACAAATAATGAAAAAACAAAACTCCATGTCTCAGAAAATGAGAATACTACACAGCCAGCTTTTGGTACTTTTGTCAGTGTGGGCAGGAGCAAAGTCCTGCTGGGAAATGAAATCAGCATCTCCATAAAGCTCATCAGCAGAAGGAAGCATGAAGTCTCTAAAATGTCATGCTAGATGCTGCGTTCACTGTGAACTTCAGAAAACCCATCAGACCAACACCAGCAGAGGGCATGGTACCCCAAACCATCACTGACTGTGGAAACTTCACTCTGGACTTCAAGCAACGTGGACTCTGGTCTTCTCCACTCTTCCTTCAGACTCTGGGACCTTGATTTTCAAATGACATGTAAAATTGACTTTCATCTGAAAAGAGGACATTGGACCACTGAACAACAGTCCAGTTTCTTATTTCTCAGCTGGTAAGATGCTTCTGACTGTCTCTGGTTCAGGAGTAATTTGACTTGAGGAATGAGACATTTGGAGCTCATGTCCAGAAGTTAATCAGCTGATCAGGGTGTGACAACAGGAGTTTACAATATTGAACCTCTTCACAATATTCTAAATTTCACTTTCTGAAATGATTGACAAATAAAACCTACCTTTTTCATGATATTCTATCTTATCTTATCTAACTTTTTAGATGCACCTGTAAATGATTGCTCAATATTTTAGTCCTTATTCAGTCTCCGCTTTTTTTGCAACAAGTGTGTTCAAAACTGGGGCGAAATAATAACAAGACGACAAGATATTTATACTGGATTGTGTTAGAGAGTTTTGGACTTAGATCATTTGAACTGTTCTATCTTATCAGTCAACTTGTTTCAACAAAGTTTCTGTGTATGAGAGCGCCTGGTCATCTGCATTAAGCAAGATGTTGTTTGCTGGACATGACTGAGAATAGCTCGCCCCAAATGTTCCAGAGGATGTTTGACCCTGCAGTTCCTATTATCTAAACTGCCACGTCTACACTATCTGAAACTGCCAGAAATTTGTTCTTTTTGTAAACCACTCCTACATGCACCAATAAAAGCCCAATGCACACTGAAGCAAGTTAGGTTGTTTTCACACCTGATAGTCCGGTAGACTCGGTTCGGGACCAATATTCATGACCTTTTGTTTACATTTGAGCTGGTGCGTTTGCATTCACACTGCACTGTGCAGTCCAGTCAACCTGTTGAACCAACCTGTTCCCCCGCTCGCCTGTGGGGGCGCTGCACCAAGAACTACTGAAAAAAAATGACACAAAAACCTCTGAAGACACGTCTTCTTCTTCTGGAAATAAAAATAAAAACGAAGTGGCATCAAGTTTTAGCAGTTTTAGGAGTTATATTTTGTCATTTTTCAAAAATGGACTTAGCATGAACAGAAGATGAGACAGAAGACCCTGGAGAATATTGTTTTTCCACACAAGGCAGCTGACGGCTCCATATAAGGTCAGAGAAATGTGTGTTTGTTTGTCCTGCGGAGCGGGGCTCAGTCTGTTTACATTCACACTGCACTCAAACCGTGCTGGAGTTAGCTTCTACCGGACCGAGACCTAGGTTTTAGCCCGGGCCAGAGTTCGCCTTTTTTTCCCCGTGACAGAGTTCGATGGCGCGTTCACACCTCCCTAAACGAACCGGACTTTCTAGGAAAACGAGCTAGAGTTCGATTAAAGCGGACTAAACAGGGCTGGTGTGAATGCACCCTTAGACTTCATTCTGACTCCGGTTAGACGTTGTCTCTCTTTGCAAAGATTTGCGTTCCTTGTAATCTCACTCTTGTTCTCTCGTGTGGTTATTTTTAATAGGTGCTGGTTCTTAGCAAAACCCCTACAGATTGCATCCAAGAGAAGGACAGAAAAGAACAAAAAAATTGAGTTCAATGTTTTTCAGGTTAAAAAGTTGTCAGGTAATTAAAATATAGAGTAGCAAACAATTTAAAGACACTTATTGAAGTTTACTCAAAATGAAAGATGGGCATGGTGGCATGATGATAACTAAAATAAATTATGACATACAGTATATTCTGCCAACAAAACCTTCCCTTTGACACAACTCTCTCTACTTACCTGCACAAACACAATACATCTGCTGTTAAGGTCTTCTTCCAGCTTGTCACTTTTATGCTCCTTGGACAAGATTGACTCCATTTTCATCATCCAGGAAGTTACAAAAATGTAGTAAGACTGAACATCCCTGAAAAGAAAGATAACTACTAGATTATATATATATATATATATATATATATATATATAGATATATATAT